GCATCCGTCGGACTGGAACAGGCATGTATCCGAAGGATGCCAGTTGCATGAATTTAAGTCTTTAAAATCAATGGTTAGGACATTGCGAATAGGAATAGATCCATGCGGATAGCATCCGTCGGATACCGTATCAAGCATGAATGTTTGTGTAAATATGTACGTAATTAATTTCAGGTATTTAGCTCAGGGGTGCAACTTCAATGTACTTGCATGGACATTCAAAATGGGTGTATCTACTGTAAAACAAGTTATTTACGAAACATGCGACGCTATTTGGAATGAGCTTCATGATGTATATCTATCTACTCCAAACCGATCGGAACAAGTATTAATAGCGGAAAAATTTTTTGTAAAAACTGGAATGCCGAATTGTTTAGGAGCAATTGATGGAAAACATATAAATATTGTCCGTCCATCAAACAGTGGCTCCTTATATTACAACTATAAGAAGACTTATAGCATTGTACTGCTGGCGGCATGCGATGCAAACTATGTTTTTACTTACGTAGATGTCGGGGCTTTGGGAAGTCAGAGTGATGGCGGCGTGCTCGCGCAAAGTGCTTTCGGAAAGAAATTGTTAAACGGAACTTTAGAAGTGCCTCGTCAAGTTAATTTGCCGGGAACATCGTGCAGTTTTCCATATTACTTTGTTGGTGATAGCGCATTTCCACTTAAGGCCAATTTAATGCGACCTTTTCCAGGTAGTAATTTGCCGGCAGATAAGGAAAAGTTCAATATGGTACTATCCAAAGCTCGGGTACACATAGAGAATTCATTTGGCATTCTATCAAATCGTTGGCGAATACTGCATACAAATATATCAGCTTGCCCAAAGAATGCAGACAAAATAGTCTTAGCTACAGTCCTTCTACACAACTTTCTGATGCTACAAAACGATCGAAACTACTTCACGCTTGAGTTGGTAGATCGAAATGAAAATAACCAAGAGATTCATGGCCAGTGGAGAAATGAAGTGAATCCATTAGATTCTTGTCGTCAGGGAGCAGTAAACCGTTCTTCTTCATATTCCTTTGAATTACGAAATATTCTTAAAGAATTTATACGAACAAGTTTTTAAAACATTATAGTTTGTTTATCTCACACATACCTAAGCTTTTTAGCCTATATTATATATAACTCAAATAATCGTTCGCATAGAGTTAAAATTGTTTGCAATTTTTCATAAAATTAAGCTCATAATATGATACACCATATTTATCAAAGGTTCAAACTTTATACAAAATTTAGAATGCTACAATTTTTTTAATTTCCAAGCTAAAAAAACTGTAAACCCAAAAGCTCTGGAAACTTTTTTAAAAAGTTAGAAATTTTAATATAATTATGTATTTTTCTAAATTTTGTATAAAGTTTGAACCTTTGATAAATATGGTGTATCATGCTATGAGCTATATTTTTATGAAACATAGCAAACAATTTTAACTCTAAAATCTTTGCGAATATTGTTTAATATGATTTTACGAACGATTATTTGAGTCATTACATACACTCACGGAAAAAAGTGTTTTCACAGAGAATTTGTAATAATGTATGCACAAAATTCTACTGTAATTGTTTTCGTTGATGTTTTATAAAAATATGCAACAAAAATGATTAAAGCTGTAATTTCTAAGCTTTGTGCAAAACTCAGGAACATTTAAATAATGTTGAACTTTGTAATTCGATTTTTTATAATTTTTTCGAGCACGCATTTTTGTAGCCCATTCAGTTTTAATATAAAGTGCAAGTTTGAAGTTTTTAAAATATCGCGTTATTTATTTTTTATCAAAGTATTAATTTTTATAGAAAAAGCGCCGCGATTTTTTATTAAAAATTTTTATTATTAATCGAAGTATTGATTTTTCTGGAAAAAGCGACGCAGGCGAAAATTTTTAATAAAATATCGCCCGATTTTTTATTAAAAATTTTCATTATTTATATATATATTAAACGAAAGAAGATATCGAAAAGCATTGAACAGTGCACACATCTCATAAGGAAAAGTGAATTATTACGAAATACTAATACAGTGGCAGCACTATAGCTATTTTGGAATCTCGCGTTTCAGCTCACAAAGATTGTCAACTTCTTTTTAATAACAAAATAATCTATCTTAGTTTGATAAAACTATGTGTTTCTTTAATAAATAAGTTAAATTATATATTTTAATAGTGTTTAAAAAGTGAGAACAGGTGATTTAGTGAATCTTTGTCGGTGTAATTGCCCATAGAAAACAACGAAATTTAACAAAAGTTTTTTGTTCATAACTTTTAAATGGTTAATAATATTAGCTTTACCATTTTTACGTAAAAATCAAAAGCCAACAGAATTCTAACTGTTAAGTGCTATGCGTTGGGTAACCGCTTACACGCAAAGCATATTGTGGCGAATACTGCGGCAACACAAAGCGAACAACGAGAAATAGGCAGAATGTTCGAGGAACGACGTAGAATGTTCCACAAAGAGAAACGTCAAGTTGGATGAACACTGCGAACTGCGAGAGAAAGAGAATGAGCGATAAACTTCAGAATGTTCCAGAGTTGCCATAAGTGCCAGCGCAGGTATATAAGGGCGCCGCCACCGCGAGGTGAGTTAGCTACAAGTCAGCAAGCTACAAGTAAAGTAAGCAGAGAAGCGAGTTGCGAATAAGCAAGCTATAAGTTTAATTGTGTTACCAAGTTTAGTTAAGCGCTGTTATTGCTTTAACAAGTATTGTAAAGTGTTTTTACTGTATTAGCGAGTATTGTAAATTGTTTGTTGTACAATAAAGTTAATTGTACTACAATTTGGTCATCGATTGCATTTATTTAACAATCCAGCGATACGAACCGAGAGATTTGGGATATCCGGACGAGGTTTCAAGGATAATCGTAACAATATTTAACAGATTCTTATGTGACAACTCTCGTGCAACGCTAAGTATGCATAACTGGAACATAAAAGAGAGAACCGTTTTTAAAATTTAGGCAACCTCCCATACGAGGTTTTGCATTTCCTTGATGCGCGGTTTTGTGCTTTAAACGAAGATATGTAGAAGTATTGCATACATATTTTGGTGCCCATTCAAGTATAAAATCCACTTAGAAACGGAAGAAAACGGCATCCCTATGATTTCAACTTATGCCAAACGTTTCGTAAACAAGCAATTCTGAACAAAAAACTGTTTTTCCACAAAGATGTTTAAATGGAAGCATTACAAATATGGAAAAATAGCAATCCACAAGGCTTTATTGGCAGTAGGTCCTTTTTAAAGCACATTTAACAAAAAAATAAGCTTCTAGTTTCGAAGCTAGCACAAAATAAAGTTCTTTTATTTGTTGTTTACAAAAAAAAAATGTTGCCTAGTATACAAGTCAAAATTGTTAAATATATATCGCTTTCATTCATTTCTTCATAGAGTTGGTGCTTCTTTTATAGGAAAATTCATACGGCTTATGAACAGATTCATACCATGTAAATGCACCATTATTTATAAACAATAAAGTAGCTTCGTTTACTTCTAGATCAGAATTGTCAAAATTGAGAAATTCAAAGTAGCGATACAATAATCATAGAAAAGAAGATTGCGCCCTGCTGTGATGATGAGTAAATTTACCACAATGAGGAAGAATATAACAATTAAGTGAAAAAATTTTATTTTTACAAATTTAGTGAGCAGTAACGCGTTTCAAGAACGATATTTCAGACAAATCGTTAAGGAACAACTATTTTTCCTTCCCGTCTGCTTTGGTTTTGGCAAAAAAGTTGATAAGCTCCTGCCGGCGATCAAGTCATTTCAACCATAAAATAATATTATTTGCAAGAATCATTCACTAAAATTGTAACTAACTTTTTATTATTTATTAATTCCTTTTTGATATTCAGCAATAACAAGATGAAAAAAAAAATATAAACCAAAATTAGTAATATTTTTATGAATGCAGTTATAAAAGTTCACAGAGGAAACGCCGGAAAACAATGTATTGACAACAACATAAAATTTATGACAATTTAGATGTCAGCAGAATAATAACTACGATAAAAAAGCATGAGAGAGTGTGCGAGAAACGGTCAACAAATTTCTTATAAAATATTTTAATTTTTGCTGGGTATAAATGAAAACTCAATGAGTATTAAGGAAAAGAAAAATTTGAAAATAATAAACAGAAAAAGAGATGGGTGCACAAAAACTCTAGTTAAATGTTTTGGGTGGGCTTTAGTAGTCAGCCGCACCTTGTGTTTTAAGAAAACCAGGTGGAATTAGCAAATTAAACTTGGTCAGGTTGTTAAGGGAGGTATCCTCTAAAACGTATAACTAAAAAATATAAATAATATCATTGTTTTATAAGTTATTTGTTGTTAAAATTTCTTAAGTCGTTCCACTTGGTTTCCTTAACAAAAAAGCATTTGTGCATACTTTTATATATATAAATGCACATAACACTGTACTTAATACTTTACACACTTTTCTTTTATTTTATCTTGTATATAAATCACTTTAATTAAACTTTTATCGACTTGTAAATTACATTGAATTTCACACATATTTACAATAACACATGGTTGCAAACTGACACATAACATGTGTTGCCATATTGTACAAAACAATACATACAAAGAAGGCAATGATTAAAAAGGAATACAGGGGAAATCAATACAAAAGAAAATGTTCAGCTCCTTTTCTTCGCAAAACAGAAAGGAGAATTATATTGCCTGAGGGTTACAATCCCTAAGTGCGGCCGAAGGCCGCCTACGCAGAAAGGTGTTCTCTGCAAAAGGTGTTCAGCTCCTTTTCTTCGCAAGACAGAAAGGAGAATTCTACTGCCTGAGGGTTATAATCCCTAAGTGCGGCCGAAGGCCGCCTACGCAGAAAGGTGTTCTCTGCAAAAGGTGTTCAGCTCCTTTTCTTCGCAAAACAGAAAGGAGAATTCTACTGCCTGAGGGTTATAATCCCTAAGTGCGGCCGAAGGCCGCCTACGCCGAAAGGTGTTCTCTGCAAAATGTGTTCAGCCCCCCCTTCTTCGGCAACACAGAAATAATAATTCTACTAAGTAAAAATTCCGAATTAAAAATCCGCTTTTATTATTCAAAATTCCAGTCTGGTAGCACTAAGTTGTATGTTATTTTGCTATCTTATTCATCGTTTATATGAAAACTTTAACAATAAATTATATAAGAACTATAGGGTTGCTAGAAAAAAGGGGGGTAGTTTTGAAATCAGGGGGTCCTATTCTACCCCCCTCATCCCCCCTTTTTCTAGAATTTGCCGTCCGTCTACTAAAATTTTCCCAATGTTTTTCCCAAACTCTTAAAAAGTAAGCAAGTCGATTTTGTTAATGTTACTTTACATCTATTTTCTTTTTTATGAATAAGGTCATAAGCATGTACCGTGTTTATAAATAAATCTTATAGCAATATGCTATATATTAATTTATACACTTTTTGGCTGGCGAAATATGTAATTTTTCTACTTAATAGAAAAGCGTATTTAACCACATTACTTTTTTTTAATATTGAATGGCGCAACACAACTCCTTTTGTTGCACGAAACCCTTGAACACGTGCCTGTCATCTATTTCTTCTGTTTCGCCATTTCGGTATTTTGCATTTCTTCATTTTGACGTCATTCGCATTGTCAGATTTTTGAAATTCGTTTTCGTTCGACATTCTGTTATTTCATAATTCTTTCATTCTCATGTCATCCATCTTCCATTTCTTACCTTCCATTGCCGTTCGCATCGTCGAACGTGCCTGTCAAACACTGCCGCCATCATGCTTTTCAGTTTGGCAGGCACGTCCGCTGTTTGGCAGGCAAGTCCGCTGTTAGAAAGAGAATAGACAAAAAGGGGCATAGGATTCCATACTTGTAAGTATATACGATGATTCATAAATAAATTCACTAATTGGAAAAATTCTTTTGGTTCGCACTTGTAATCCTAAAAACTATAAAGCAAAATATCCAAATCAACATGTTACTAATAGAACAGTATGAACAGCAATATGCTGCACTGATTGCGGAGATCACATCTGAAATCGCGCAACTAAAACAATTGAAAGGGGGTAAGAACCATCCGAATACAATGCAAAAAAACAAGTACATATGTATTTCTTTTGCAGTGGAACGCCGAGATCTAAGCTCCAAAATCGATGCAAGTCTTGCAGAAGCACATGAACTTTTAGAGCAAATGACCTTGGAAATACGGGAAGTAGATGTTACGTTGCGTCCAAGTTTCCAAAATAAAGTCAGTTGTGCGCAAGTGGAATTGAAAAGACTACAATCCGATTATCGTGGTGCCAAAGAAGCTCAGCAGAAACAACACATGACAGTCTTAGAGTTGGGTGGTGGTGATGGCGATTATTATGATGATATTTCCATAAGTAATGATCAGCGACAACACCTATTGGAAAATTCAGAACGTATAGAACGCACGGGAAATCGTTTAGTGGATGGTTATCGAGTTGCACTAGAAACAGAGGCGTTAGGCGCTCAAGTGCTTAATGATTTGAGCCATCAACGTGAAGTTTTGCATGGCGCACGTGCTCGTTTACGAGAAACCAATGCGGATCTAGGACGAGCTTCGCGTACTCTGAATTCAATGATGTTACGAGCATTACGGGAAAAATATGTTCTATATGTAGTCGGTGTATGTTTTGTGGTAGCTGTTGGTGTTAGCCTTTATTTGACGTTCTCATCAAGTTCACCCACTGCTTAGTTGGTAATTTAAGAGTGATCTCTTTATTGTTGTAGTATTATGTATGTTATCGCGTATATTTATCTAGTGCGTGTCTTTGTGGTCATTAAAGTTATACATTCCCTTCTCGGCAATGTAATGGTGTTTCTTTGTTGAAATGCACAAAAAAAATCTAAATAAATAAGTTTAGAATAAAGCATAAAAAATATATACACATGAATGATGCCATGAAGTTCATGCCTTTTAATGAAATTAATGGAATGTATCCTAGAAAATTATTAGATGCTAAAGTTATTTACTTTATTTAAATTTTTCACTTTATTTTATTCATAGGTAAAATGTTGCTACATTTCACGTCTACGACCATGATACAAAAAAGAAGGTAGTTCCATTGTCACTTTTTCGTCGCCATATTAACAACCTGACAATTAAGTAGATTGTGACATTTCGTGCTACTGTATGCAATATCTAAAATATTCTAAATTTTATTATTAATTTTTTATTTATTTACAAACATTTTGTTCTTAAAATCGAAACTTGAACTAGCAAAAGGTATTTTGTTATTTGTACAATAATTTTGGGTTGTTGTGTCACAAAACTTAACCCAAAGCAAAAAATTTTAACACACACGTGTTGTCAAACAATTAAACGTAAGTTTAAAATAAAATTTCAAGTTTTCAGATACAAATTTATGAATAAATTCGGTTTGAATTATGGACCTTCTTGTAAAAAATACTGTGGTCAGCGTAGCCGGAGTTGGACTGATGAGAGTTATTTTTTCTAAGCGCTGCCGAAATTTTACCCAATTTGTCAATGGGTCTGTCCCTCCGTCTCCGCTCCCCATCCCAAAACCATTGCACAAATAACCGAACTTTTTCCCTTTTGTATTTGAAAGAGCATGCTCAATAAGTTGATAATTGTGTTTCTAGTTTTCATACTAACAATAAATCAAATTTTGTTTCACACCAACTCCAATATTGAGTAAAATATATTTTAATTTTATCCAAAGAAACAACGATATTGGCGAAATATACTAGAATTGGATAATACTCACTTCTCTGAAAGTCATGACGCCTACGGGTCCCAAAGTAAATTCAGTTTTCACGTTACTTGAAAGACATGGACAAAGACAATATCGAAATTATATCAGAAACAATCGTATCCGATATAGAAAACTGTAGTAGTCCTGACTAGCTACATTGTGTAATAATCAGATGACATAATGACACTAAACAATTTTAAAATATGTTCACTAACTACTACTTTTATTAATGTAAAAATAAAGATTTTGGCAAGTAGTTATCGAATTTAATGTAAAATTTAAACAATTTTAAGATAAAATATTAATTATTTTTAAAAGGTAAATGTTAATGCAGCTATTGTATTTATACTCCCAAATTTATGATATAAAATCCCCTCTACCAAAACATTTAAATTGGGTAACGGCGCTTCGATTTTTTTACAATTGAGCAATTGTCAAAAATCTCCTTTTTAATCAAAAAGTTGTTTATTGAAACTACCTTCTTTTTTGTATCATGTCTACGACTATGAGTATTTGAGAATAGCTGGGTCGCATTGTTAAAACAAACCCAAACTAAATTTTTATATTGTGACACCTGTTTTAGTAATGTCCTTTATTTTCGTACATAAATATAAAAAAAAGAGTTCATACACCTATACATACGGTGACCATCCGTCCCGTATTATACGGGACAGTCCTCTTTTTTGACCAATTGTCCTGGTAATACATATATGATACTAATTTTCTCTATAAACAGTTATTATTTTCTAATCTGAATGCCTGTGATTCGAATCGAGGAATACATGCGGTGACTAAAATAGAAATAGGGACTCGACATTTTAGTAGGTTTTGGCTATTTTTCCTTAGTTTTTTTAATGTTTATTATTTATTTTATGAAAGTAAAGCTCTTTTCCTAACAAAAACCATACAACACCAAATTTCTAACTAAAAAAACTATAAAAATTAATTCTGCAAGGTTTCACCAAAATTTCAAACTTTTTAATTAGAACCTTTAGAAAAAAAATTTGGTTTGCAGTTTTGTAAGTTATTAAAATTGAGTATTATACATAAAGTGCGAGTGGTAAGTGGTGCTCATTCGCTTCTTTTAAAAAAAAAATGGTTGAACATACTTTGTATGAAAAAAATGCGTAACACCAAAGTACGTAGATAACAAGGGACAACACGTTATAATTGTGGCGAAAGTGCGCAACAGGGTCGTTCTTTCTCTTTTCGCACTTTCGCCACAATTATAACGGATTTTCCCGTTTTGTTATCTACGTTCTTTAGTAACACCGTCAACAAAAAGACAAGCCCCTGTTGCGCACTTTCGCCACAATTATAACGGATTTTCCCTTTTTGTTATCTACGTTCTTTGGTAACACCGTCAACAAAAAACATTGCCCAAAATTATTGGTAAGCCTTCTTCTTCTTCTTTATTGGCGCTGTAACCGCCTAAGAGATTTTGCCCGAGTCCAAAACAGCACGCCAGTCATTTCTCTTCTGTGCTGACGCCAATTGGAAATGCCAAGTCTTTCCAACGCAAAGGAGGCCTTCCTCTTCCTCTGTTACCAGCATCGCGGCCCGCGTTGAATATTTTCAGAGCAGGAGCGTTTCTGTCCATTCGAACGACATGGCCAAGCCAGCGGAGCCGCTGACGTACGCTCTTGAAAATTATTGTGCCTGAGCGGTTCAGTTCTGCAGCTTTTATTATCTTCTCAACATAAGATTAAAGAAATCACACAAAAGGGAGTCCCGTTGTCTGAAACCTCGTTTGGTATCAAAAGGCTCGGAAAGGTCCTTCCCTATTCTGATGGAGCCGGTGGTATTGCACAACGTAATTTTACACAGCCGTATTATTCAGACGCAAATTCAGACATCGCGGCATAAAACCAACTTCTCTTCGTGCTGTCGAAAGCGGCTTTGAAATCGACAAATAGATGGTGTGTGTCGATCCTATTCTCGCGAGTCTTTTCCAAGATTTGGCGTATTGTGAATACCTGGTCTACGGTGCATTTGCCAGGCCTAAAGCCACACTGATAAGGTCCAATCAGTTCGTTGACGGTGGGCTTCAGTCTTTCGCACAATACACTCGATAAGACCTTATAACCTATGCTTAGAAAGCTGGTTCCTCTGTAGTTGGCGCGAATGGCGGGGTCGCTTTTCTTGTGTATTGGGCACAGCTCTGCTGGCAGGCCGTCAGCTCCAGCAGATTTTTTGTGTTCCAGCCGCGTAATCGCTATTCGTACCTAGTCATAGTCAGGCGGCGGGACAGCTGCTCTATTATTATCGACTGGGTAGTCGGGTTCGTCTTCTCAACTACTTTCAGCGCTGCTACCATTCAGTAGGTTGTAAAAGTATTCCCGCCACAATTTAAGTACATTCTGGACATCGGTCACTAGGTCGCCATTGTTGTTCTTACAGGAGTTCGCCCCGGTCTTGAAACCTTCCGTAAGTCGCCTAACTCTCTGGTAGAATTTTCGGGCGTTCTTCCTGTCGGCCAGCATCTCAAGCTCTTCGCACTCACGTATTTCGGCCTCTGTCTTCTTATTGCGGAAAATACGTCTCACTTTCTGCTTTAGTTCCCTATAATGGTCTCACATGGCTCGCGTTGCACCCGATCGTAGCGTAGCCCTATAGGTGGCGTCTTGACATTCCTCATCGTACCAGTTGTTCCGTCGGGCCGCTGAAATCCAACAAGATAGTGGTCCGAGTCGATGTTTGGCCCTCGAGGTGTACATACGTCTAAATCGCTTGAAGCATGCCTTTCGTCTATCACAACATGATCGATTTGGTTTCTCGTTTTTCGATCTGGAGAGAGCCATGTAGCCTGGTGGATTTTCTTATCCTGGAACCTAGTGCTACATATTACCATGTTTCAGGCCCCGGCGAAGTCGATCAGGCTCAGTCCGTTATCGGACGTTTCGTCGTGGAGGCTGAATTTCCCGACAGTGGCTCCAAAGATCGCTTCCTTGCCCACCTTGGCATTAAAATCGCCGAGCACTTTTTTTACATCGTGTCGGAGGCAGCGCTCATATGTGCGTTCCAAGCGCTCATAGAAGAGATCCTTGGACGCCTCATCCTTCTCTTCCGTCGGGGCTTGGGCGCAGATGAGCGGGATGTTGAAGAATCTAGCTTTCATGCGGATTGTGGTTATACGTTCGTCCTTCTTCCTGGGTGAACACCAGTACTCGGCGACGGGCGACGGGGTCTCTCTCCTACCACGAATCCAACACCGAATTTGGGCTCCTTTACGTGGCAACTGTAGTAGAAGTCTCAAGGCTTCACTTACTTTTCCTTGCCCCGTCCATCGCATTTCTTGGATGGCGGTGATGTCAGCCTTTGTCTTCCCGAGGACATCAGCCAGCCAGGCAGACACCTTCCCCATTATGGGTCCGGATATTCCAGGTGCGTACCCTCAAATCATAATCCTTTATACGTTTGCCGTAGTCGTCATCAAGAAAGGGGCTTGTTAGAATTTTGTTGGTAAGCCTTAGCAACTTAAAATTTCACGTTATTATACTAAAAGTTAACGAATTTTTTTAACAAATTTTACGGGGTAAAAATCTCGAGAAAATTATCCTACAAATTCGTTATGTTACTATAAGGATACTGTTTCAGGGCTAATACATCCAGGATCAATGAAGAAGGCCTTAAGATCTGTAAGCTGTTGTGGAACAAATTTGCAAAATTATTTTTTGTCCGGTATTCGGCTCTCATAAATATGGTCACCGTACCTATACACCAATTACGGCAATACATACGTATGTATATAAATAGTGATGCTTCAGATTTCGTGTTTTGCTCCGACAAAATATTAATATGTTAAAAGCCCTTTAGAAAATGTAATCAAACTCAAAGTTTCAGGAGTTTGGACGGATTGTAACAAAAACTACCAAATTAGCGTAGATAAGCTCATTTAACAATTTTTAGTCCAGAAACTTAGTCACCTTTAAGAAAGCACGATCGAAACTAAAAATAAATAAATAAATAAATTTACAATACGCATAAAATGCCTACAAATATCCCTCAATCTTTATGTATGAAGTTCGCTTTCACTCTTATTTAGCCGAACTCCACATTCCCCATTTGCTAGCAAATACGTTGCGAACTTTCTTCACCTGCATCAGCCTCAGCAGCTGAATCAATTTCGAAACTATGTTGCTCCAAAGCTTGGAGTTCCATTTTAGAACGATTGGCATCGACAAGTATACGGGAGATGTCGCGAAACATTTCCTCAACACCCTGCGAAGTTTTGCAAGAGGTCTTATAAGTGGCACTGTTCGCAAAAGCCTTCTACTTCAGCGTCGGTCACCTGTGGCTCACGCTCTGCCAAATCACTTTTGTTACCACAAATGAAAATTTTCGCATTTTCGGCATAAGTAACAATGTTTAGTAGATGTTGTGACAAGGAATGAAAAGAAGCAGCATTGTCCATGGCGAAAACTAGTATGGCACCCTCAGCAAATTTGTAGTATGACGAGGTAACAGATGCAACACGCTCCATACCGCCAGTATCCATAGTTGTAGCTAAATTTGTGAAAATGTTAATTTATACATCCATATGTACATATTCAATGGGTATGGTATCAATTTTGCGGCTTAACTTGATTTGTTTATCACCAACCGTGTAGTCACGGTCTATGTGATCCAAGCCCAGTGTAGATTTGCGATCAGTATCTGTCACTGTTATGATAAGTGTCAGTGACCAATGTGTTTATGGCTGCATTTCTTTATACTGTGGCGAATACTGCGGCAACACAAAGCGAACAACGAGAAA